AAGGTTGAGGGTGGGCAGGGGGTCATTACCCTAAAACTTCAGCCTCCTAGACTCCGTGGTTCCCGATATATTAACTTACCCGTAAAAAACTTTCACGGGGCCTTACGCGTTACCCGCGGGTACGGGGAAGCTGAATTTAAATTTGCAGGGTCACACGTGGGTGGGGAACGTTCCTTTAAATTTTCAGCTTCCTAGCTTTTGTGGTTCCCAAGTTGAAAGTTGCGGACAAGTTGCTGCGGACACACACACACACACACACAAACACACACACAGACAACCCGTAACAACATGCGTTTTGTACTGCTGTTACACAGCACAAAACGCATAAAAATGCACCATTATTACCAACATCTTCTTCACAGTTATTTTTAGTGTTTTTCATTACAACTATAATTAATTATAATGAAATTATAAATTCATCATAAATTATAAATTTAAGTTTATTATAGTTATAAAAATTTATTAATTTGTGGTGAAAAATTTATAACGAATAAAATTATGACAGCCCGTGAATAAAAAATCACACTTCAAGTATTTATGACTGCTAATCTGTAAGTTATTTTCATCATGGTCTAGAAATGACAACGTTCGAGGTGACGTGGTGATGCTCAACAGACACCAGTTGTACTCAGTGCCTTGCAAAATGCTTTTACCGAGAGAACAGTGGGCCTGCAAAACCCTTACAAGATGAGATGAACATTAGCAGCGACAGAAAGCTAACCACCACGCGACGTTGCACCGATCAAAAAAATTGGAAAATTGCCAAATTCACAAATGATGATCAAAAATACAATTATAGCTGATTCAAATATTACAAATGATAAACTTAAGGATGATTTTGGAGCAAAAAAAAAAAAAGATTGGAATCGAAATTTCGAAGAAAACTTTAAATTTTATAGGAAAATGGCTTTTAATACAGATGCTACTACTTCAAGTGAGTAGTTTCCGTCCGAACTGAAGAAAAATTTACCACCGCTGATCGAAATGCCTGCTTCATATGTGTGTAATGAAGAAATCGCGCAATTGGAAGTACATTTGAGCCATTGTACATTAAAATAAAGAAAAAAACACCCGAGAGATACAATCGAGATAGAAAAGGATTATCCTGAAATTACGTCAATCCTCAACAGCTGCAACAAATAAATTTCGTAAAATAGTTTGTAAAACACGAAAAACCAATTTTCGCTTAAAAATAAATTATTTAGGTTTGTCTGTTGCTTCTAATTATTATTGAAAACTCGCGAAAAGCTGGCCAAGAATATCCGTTACTTGTGGTATTAGTGCTAGATGCTAGTGTGTATATAAAAAATGACCATACATATAGATTCAGACCTGCACAAGCTAATTATTAAGCATGCATCCCACAAATGTAGAGTTCAAAAAGTTCTTCATTTTGATGAGACAAGCATTTTTAAAAAAGTGTTTAATTACAAGAAAGATATATCTCACAGGCAATAAATACTAATTGAACATCTGAAGTGTTGCAGGAATTTTAAAAATATAAATTCAAATTTATTTAAATATAAATTCAAATTTATTTAAAAATTTAATTACAAATTTAAAAACCTAAGAATATCAAAATGAATTCAAAATAAATTTAATAAAAGTAAATACATAAGTACATTTAGTATAAAATAAATGCAAAATAGGAATAAATTAATGTAAAAATAAAAACAAATTTAAAATATAAAATAAAAAATCCAATTTTAAAACGCAAATAAAAAAATAAAGAAATAAAAAAAGTACAAAATTGGAATCCCAGAATCAACGGGCCTTATATAGCTGCACCTGTCGTGTCGGGAGCATCCTAGTAACATCACTAACATGGGCATCCATACTCGAACAGTCTTTGTATTGCTATTTTTGATAATTACAAGCCAAGGAAGGCAAACAATCAGACCTCAAGGATATGTAGCAGTAACGAGGCAACCCGTTGAACAATTGTTGGATCGTAAGTGAGGAGCAATTGAACAATTTGATACAGTAAAACAGGCTCCGATAAACTGCGTTTCACTTGTGGCAGTGGTCGTACAATGCATTCATTCTCATCTCTGAAAATTCTCGATCTTTTTGATACGTGAAAAGATTTTTGAAGAACCACCTGCCTATCACTCGAGCCAACAGAGAATTACCAATTAACGAAATTTCAAGAAAATCGGATGAAATTTTTTGGATATTTTAAAATACCTGGATCAGCAATGATCTGGATTTATTTTCTCTTCTATTCTTCTTCCTACTTCAAAATACCTTTCTCTCATAACTTTGCTCCTTAAATATGGGCTCTTCAAATACTTTGCTCTTTAAAAAAATACTTTTTTTTTTAATTTTTTGATAATGCTGCACTGCTTGATGGTCAGCCTACTGGCGATTTTGACTATCGTTTCTTCTTTCCTAATCTGAGTTACTGCTCCACAAAATATCTGCTAAATTCACAAAATTTTACTTACCTTGACGGAAAAAACGCACACATCTGTATTAAAATATCAAGAATAATTGTACAGAGTTCAGTGAAATTATACAGCGCATTGGTCATCACCGAGCAGCAAACTGTCCAACGAAACTGTGAAACTGCCGAAAGCACCATCCACTGGTCTAGGCCTTGAGCCCAAATTTGTGTCCGTTCAAATATCACTTTCTCTTCGTAAAGGCTCTTCATCTGTAAGCAAAAATTTCAATGGGGACCAGTTCGGCATCAAAAGCTCATACATTTAATCAAAAAAATAAATGGCAACGCGCACCAGACTAGCCGGTGCGATCATGCGTTTTGTGCACTTCAGCCGATCGAACGATTGCCTGTTAATGATTTTCACTGCTTTATGCTTTAGCAAACATTGGAAAACAGTTAAAATTTCAGCCTGTTAATGATTTTCACTGCTTCGTACTTCAGTCTATGCAAAAATAGTTCAAACATTGGAAAACATTTAAAAATTTCACGCACCTGCGCATGAAAGCTGAATTCGAAACCTTGAAGGATGAATATCTTTCCGTGATTCCCGAGTTAATAGTTTATTCGCCAAAATTTTCATGAGGCCGTAGGTGGTAACCGAGAACGAGAGAATGCTGAATTTGAATAGGCAAGGTTGAGGGTGGGCAGGGGGTCATTACCCTAAAACTTCAGCCTCCTAGACTCCGAGGTTCCTGAGACGTTAACTTACCCGTGAATAACTTTCACGGGGCCGTACGTGTTACCCGCGGGTAAGGGAAGGCTGAATTCGAATGGGCAAGGTTGAAGGTGGGCAGGGGGTCATTATCCTAAAACTTCAGCCTACTAAATGCCGTGGTTCCCGAGATATTAAGTTACCCGTGAATAACTTTCACGGGGCCGTACGTGTTACCCGCGGGTAAGGGAAGGCTGAATTCGAATGGGCAAGGTTGAAGGTGGGCAGGGGGTCATTATCCTAAAACTTCAGCCTACTAAATGCCATGGTTCCCGAGATATTAAG